CAATATATCTCTGTAATGTTTATATTATGTGAAAAAAGAAAAAATACGTGTCCAATACTTTTTGATAATCTACCTGATAAACGAAGAAAAAAAAATAGTCATCATCCCTATTATTAGCTAGATGTTAGGCGCATAATACCAACGGTGCCAGTCCTAGTAATATTACTTGACTTGTATAATTTTTAAATTAAAAAAAGAAATAATAATTAAAAAAAACAATTAAATTATAGTTGCCTAATGGAATCGCGCCTTCGGGCCCAAACAAAAGACACCTCAATAACGTCATGCACGAAATGAAAGCTTTATGAACCGTAATACCTCAGATAAGCGTTTACTTTTCTTTACTACCAATTATTTTTGATAACTTAAAGAGTACCTACTTAGTTACCATTGAACAGTTACAGTTGAGGAGCTCGATGGCGCAACTGGTTAGCGCGTCCGGCTGCGATCGTTGAAGTTAAGCAACTTTCGCAGTGGTCGGTCATATTCATATTCATATTCATATTCATATTCATATTCATATTCATATTCATATTCATATTCATATTCATATTCATATTCATATTTATTTACAAGAAACATGGTACAATAAAAAGATGTTACAATACATATGGTGCTCAAACATGATTCGCTAAATTAGCATGCAAATATCAAATTATTTTATATTAATATTGTAATTGGTCACACTGTTGTTAATCATACCAAAACATTAATTCCATTTAAACATGTCAATTAATCGTCATACGTCATCACATAAACATGTTAAGAAATCCATAATATTATTGATTAAAAATAAGTTATAATTTTAGTCAAATTTACAATCATAAAACTTTAAATCATTTATTCCATTTACACATGTCAAATTATCAAGCAATTAAATATTATTAAATCACTACAATAAATATATATCACATAGAATAAAAATTACAATCTTAATTAATTTGTCACTTATTATGTCTGGATTTAAACATAAAATTAAAATATTCCTCTACAGAGTAAAAACATTGTTCCTGCAACCATGACTTTATCGTCCTTCGAAAACGCGTTTTTGGAAGATTTAGAAACTCTGTTGGTAAAGCATTATATACCTTGATGCACATAGCTGTAGAAATTTTCAAATAAAGACTGGTCTTTGGTCTAACACTATAAGCAAGTTTGTCAGGGTAACGGAGGTTTTTTGAGTTCTATTTATATCACTACGTTTGTCATTGGATGGGTGACCAAAAATTTACTATCTCGAGCTCCTCCGTGCTTCGGAAGACACGTTAAGCCGTTGGTCCCGGCTGCATCTGCAGTCGTTAGCACCCACCAATCCGCACTGGGCCCGCGTGGTGGGTCATGGCATAATCTCCCTATTCCATCCATAGGGAAGGCCTGTGCCCCAGCAGTGGGGACATTAATAGGCTGATGATGATGATGATGATGATGATGAACAGTTATTCTCGAATCTATAATTGATAATCTTAATACAAAATAATTATGAATTATGTTATTTCGATAATACAGACTACTCGGGCCGGTTACAACAATAAGATTATCTAACTGCATATATAAAATTGAATTTATGTATCCTCAATAATTTTGATCAGTCTTCACACTTTGATTTTTATGAAGCTGACTGTACATAGTTTATTTATTTATTTATATATTCAGTTAGTTACTAGGTCATCAATGTTTTATAAAAAGTATACCTAGTACTTTTGAGCAAGTGTCTTGCTTTTATTTAATAGTCAAGTGTACGAAAAAATAAACAATTAATCAAAATTTATAATATACTAGCTGACCCAGCGAACTTCGTACCGCCCTAAAAAAATAGGGGTTGTCCAGCGGACAAAATTGTGAATCTAAACCATTCTCAGATCCCCTTGAACACACACAAAAAATTTCATCAAAATCGGTCCAGTCGTTTAAGAGAAGTTCAGTGACATACACACTCACAGAAGAATTATATATATAAAGATAGCTGACCCAGCGAACTTCGTACCGCCCTAAAAAAATAGGGGTTGTCCAGCGGACAAAATTGTGAATCTAAACCATTCTCAGATCCCCTTGAACACACACAAAAAATTTCATCAAAATCGGTCCAGTCGTTTAAGAGAAGTTCAGTGACATACACACTCACAGAAGAATTATATATATAAAGATTTCATTACGAATGCGGAAAGCCTGTCATTGCAAAGATATACGAAAAATGTCTACCCGTGAGGGTTGACAGTCGGAACAAGTTGCAATGACGGTTCCGCACGTGTACTGAACAACTATTTTTAATACAGTTGCGAAAAAATTAAGAAATTAAAGAAAATTTTTGGTAAATGGCGCCACCACGGGGCGCCACCCGTAAAATAATTTAACATAGATTTTTTTTGTTTTCTACCCCCTTTCTGGGTAGGCAAAGGGAACTATGCCCATACAGCGAAATCTTCAGTAGTTTTTTTTTATTGTTATGAAATGAAAATGATATTTAATTAGATGAAATGAAATGAAACTTAACCTAACTTATTGAACCAAATCATTAAATCTGATATTGAAACAAAAGTAGCTTCTTTTTAGAAATATTTGCATGAATCATAAAATAAAAACTTCGTTTTTTCTTTTCAACAGACATTATTTTGACAGTTGGGAAAGAACGCGCACAATATTTTTATTTCGAATATTCAAGTATTCATTTATACGTTTTGCAGATGTTTCAACATCTTTGATTTTTAATTGTGTAACCAATTTACTAATTTTTATATTATTAAGTTTATTAACTTTTTGGAGAATGTGGCTTAACCTGGTATCTTATCGTCTTACGCCTTAGGGTGCGGCCAGAGTGCACTCAGATTCAGATTCAGATTCAGATTTCGAAAACAAGCGCGAGAAATAAACACTTTAATTGAAGGGTACGGCCAGAGTGCACTCCTGATTCAGATTCAGATTCAGACTCAGAAAACAAAGCGCGAGAAAAAGCAGGCAACCTGCTTAGACTACACTGTTTATTTCTCGCGCTTGTTTTCGAAATCTGAATCTGATTCTGAATCTGAGTGCACTCTGGCCGCACCCTTAGAGCGCATGCTCCAAGTCTTACGCATACGTTCCGAGACAAAAAAAAAAGCGAGTGTGCTTATGACCACACGACTGAAGTGAAACTTCTTTAGCTCCAATGATCTGAAAATCATAAAAAAAAAATTTGTTGATCGAAAAAAAAAACACTAATCCGCACTGGGTCCGTTATCACTAGGGTTACCAACTTTTTTTCTATCAAATATCGTATTTTCGAAGCGTTACTTCTAAAAATATAGTAGCTGGCAAAATAGTATAGTATGTGGTTAAAATATTTACTTTATTTTTGAAATAAATTATATTTTTGCTGCTCTTCGCCTTTTTCTAATAATAATAATTTATAATATTTTTAAGAAAGCTTTTACTTTCAAAAATATGCTCTAAGAAAAATAAAGTAGTTTCGCCTACTATACAGGGCGTCCCACGGCTACCTCACACGGAGGGAAAGTATATTAAATATTAAAGATAGGATATTTTAAAAATCGACTGCTACAACTGGGAATCAAACTCGTGAAATTTCGAAAAAAAATACGACATATTTTATGATAACTATCGAAAGGGTTTATCATAAAGAATATTTTTCACTAATTAACATAGCATTTTGAATGAAAGGAATGTCATAACGTGATAAAAAGAATAAGGTGATATACAAACAGTAGTACGTATGCATTTCTTTTTGAACTCAGTTACAATGCCTGGACTGAAATTTTTTAAAAATAATAATTCGAAAATAGAACAGCACGAACCATTATCGAATTCGAATAATTTGCGAGAGTGAAATGTCAATGTCAAATTTTGTTAAACAGCAGCACCACAAAGTACATAACGGGAATTAAAAATCAGAACACATTTGACAATGACATTTCGCACTCGAAAACTATTCGAATTCGATATTGGTTTGTGCTAAGGGTACAGTTCTGTTTTTTGTGTTTTTTATTTTTGTTAAAAACCAGGTTCTCTTAATACATTTTTACAAAGGGAATCGAAATACGGAAAGATATCTAGAAATACTTAATATTTTAAGAGGTGAGGTGAATCTTCCTGATGCAAATCGACGAAATCTCATTTTCCAGCAAAATCGGACTCATAACAGTAGGAGAACTGCCGAGTTTCTTAATGAACACTTTCCTTCCTGGATCGGTTCTTATGGACAAATAAGATGGCCAGCGAGATCCCCAGATCTAACCCCACTGGACTTTTTTTGTGGGGTTATGTAACAGATGTTGTATACAAGAACCAGTAAGACAGTGTGCAGGAGTTACAAAATAACTCAGACGTATTATTACAAACATTCACCACGCAAAGATAATGAAATCGACAGGCAGAGAAAACATTAACAGAGTGAAAATTTGCATACAACAAATCGGATCACATTTTGAACATTTCATACATTTCGTTTTGGATTAATTTTTGTTGAATAATTTTAATAAAATGTGTAATTTTTTGACTTTTCTTTTATTTAAAATGCTATGTTATTTAGCATAAAATAATTGTTATGATGAACTCTTTCGATGGTTATCATAAAACATGTAGTGTTTTTTTTCGAAATTTCACGAGTTTGATTCCCCGTTATAACAGACGATTTAAAAAAAAAACTGTGAATGCAGTTCTATTTATAATTAAAAATAAAATTATGTCTTCTTTTGGTAAAATATCCTATCTTCAATATTTAATATACTTTCCCTCCGTGTGAGGTACCTGTGGGACGTCCTGTATATTGTTTTTAGAAATATAGTATTTGATCCCATAATATAGTAGGATACGGTAGTTACTACTATAGGTATTATAGTAGGAGCCCCAGTTAGTTGGGGCTAACACGCCAAGAAACATATAAAAAGTGTCACATTCAAATTACAATGTAAATAAAAAGGAGAAAAATATTGAAGCCTAAACTGTACGGACTTAGTATTCCTCGTCTTTTAAAAAAGTTTATAAATGACATTGACATCCTTGTTGTTGACAGTAATGACAGTGACAGTGTGATCGACTTTGTTTTGCAATTTTGTAGCGCGAGTTTGATATTTTGCCAATCATTTTCGTTCATAACGCCTGGTTAGTTTTAGCTTGCATCTTCGCACAATGGAGACTAACTTACAACACGAAGATTTGCTTATAAAATTACGAGCAAAACTCAACGAACAAAAAATTAAACTATGGGAACCTCCATACATACTTCCAGACAATGGCATAACACAAAGTTTGCAGGTACAGGCTTTATTATCATCCAGCCTCTAAATAATCCCCCTTTTTAAGGTCTGTGCCTTATATTTGATAACTTATCTACAATTTTAGACTTTTTGAACAAATTGAAATCTTCGTTTAAATAAAGAAAGTACATTTTTTCTAGAAAAAGCCAAAGTGACTAACAAAGGAATATTTTATACACCTGTGCAAACAACTCGAATTCCTTTCAGAAAATTCGATCAGTGTTGTTGACTGATTCTTAATGTAATTTTTAGGAATTGGCTGCTGGATATTCCAATGACCTATCAGTTGATCAGGAAACTGTTGTTGAAGCTCTACGGGAGCTACAATTACACTCTATTGACCGTTCTAAGGCTAATGCAGAGTTTAAGGAGACAGGATGTGCAACATTTAGAGTAAGGGCTACCATGCCCGGTGAGAAGCCTCGTGTGATGAAAGTGCAACGGAAGCTGGAGATACTAGGCAGTGAGCTAATTAAGGCGGTGGCTGATGGTATAGGTGTCACTGACAACCGGTATGTGATTGATGTAACTAAAACTACTTGAGACTTAACTTGGAACACAATCACCTAAATCTTTTATTCCTAATTTTTATTTTAAATGATATTTAAGACCTGAAATGTCATTTAATTTAAATTATTATCGATGACCTTAAATGTCATTTAATTAAAGTAGGCTGCTGCTGAAAATCAGTGTCGTGGCACATGTTGCCTCGACGTATACTGAGCAGTGGCCTGTTTGGAACACAATCACCTATATGTAACACAATAAGTTATTTTTGTAATTTGTGCCAAATAAACAGTTTTATTATTATTATTATTAAGACAGAGTGTTTAATTCAATTGTAAAGAATATATTGATAGTTACTTTTATTGTAGTAAAGTTTTCTTTAGATTTATAAATCTATAGCAGTTAATGCTTAAAGTAAAAATAAATAATGATAGTTTTATTAATGTTAATAAAATAAATTAGGTGGAAAATCGAAAAAGAGGAATCTGACTACAGTAGACCTGCGGTAATCCGGACCCCGTCTAATCCGGCGCCGCCACCGATCCGACACTTAATCACTGTTGATTTGTACATAAAATCAATTTAAATAGCTTTTTAGGTTTGTAATTTGTCGGATTACAAGGTACTCTTATTCCAAAAATTCCGGACTATAGAGACTATAGAGTGGGTTGAGACAGTACTATGTAATCCAACTCAATAAATAATCCGACATCGCCCTGCCCTTACAAAATAATTTATCATAAATGAAATCTTAGAAAAGTATTAAATAACTTCTTTATACTTTTATGTAACTACATTTTTCTATACTTGTTCAAGTTTCGAAATATCTATTTTTTATTAATTTAATTTTGTTGTTTTTTATTTGGTATTTTATATGTGGCTTTCAGAGTGAAGTTAATATTTAATGGTAAAGTGATTAACACAACACAAACTCTACATGAGCAAGGAGTCAAAAATGGAGCTCAAATAATGGCTCTGGTCATGGCAGGTACGTAAATATTATTTATAGATTGTTGCAACTGCTTCTACTATAATTATTAAAACAGTTTCATTGCTTACTATTGGATGCTCATGTCTTCGTCTGTGTGGAAATACCTTTAAGTTTCCCATACACATTTGGAACTCCCCGTTTTTACCCCTGAAATTAGTTAAATTTGAAATTCAATATCGTTTATTCAGTCTAGGCTGTTACAAGCACTTGTGAATGTTGAAAAGCTACACCATTGGTTCACAAATCTACAGCGGGAGACCTTGTAATGAGAAGAACCGGCAAGAAACTCAGAAAGAGCTTTTTCTTTCTCCCTATATTACATACAGAGTCGTCAAATTGAAAAATGACGAATATGAAATAACTTATGAAGTAATGTTTTTTAGCACACGCCTTCAGCATAATAGCTTGATGTGTTCCAAATTTCAGTGCAATCTGTTCAGTGGCTTGAGCTGTGCGTTGATAGGTCAGTCGGTAATAGATTAATAAAAGGAAGGTTAGGTAACAATCTTGGTAAAGCAAGAACTTCCAATATCTACAAAAAATATTAATTCAGTATATTTTTGTTCTCTATAGAAATAAAAATGATTATTTATGTATAGAACATGTAACAATTCAACCTGCTTCAGCATCATTCATCATTAGCTTATTAATGTCCCAACTGCTGGGGCACAGACCTTCCCAACCACACAGGCCCAGTGCCGATTGGTGGGTGCTAATGACAGCCAGGGCCGACAGCTTAACATATCATCCGAAGCACAGAGGAGCTCGAGATATTAAATGATCTCAAATCAAGGTTTGAGAATTAAATATTTGTATTTTGTACTCTAGAGACTCCTGAGGAGGTGAAGAAAGAAGACACTATGTATATGGAAATGAAGACGACAAGAGATGACGCTATGCTGCTGTCGGAGTGTGTTGATGACTTCGATGATGATGATGAGTACATGAAAGTGAGCAATCTGTGATGTTATTTTATAAATTCAGTTTTTATTTATTTATTAAGTAATTTTAAAGCCTATTTCTAGTTATCATTAGCTTATTAATGCCCACTACTGCTGGGCTCAGGCCTTCCCCTAGAGTGAAATTGGGAAAATGGGATGGATATTAAAGGCAGGATAAACATTCAACTTCAACTACCTTCCCTTCTCTAACTCTTCTGTGCTTTTATGAGTTAGAGAATATAATTTTTGGACACCCATTTTAAAACCAACATTTGCGAAAGTTTTGTGTTAGCGAATGTAATCTACCACTTGCGCTGCTGACATCCAAATATTTTATATTATTGACGACCTCCGTGGCCGAGTGGTTTGCACGCCGGGTTTCATGGAATCGCCGACTCGAGAGGTCCCGGGTTCGAATCCCGGTGGGGGCAGATGTTTGTGTGATGAATACGAGCATTTGTACTCCAGTCATTGATGTTTAATATGTATTTCTATATAAATATACTTATATATGTACAGTATATGTATTCTATCCGTTACCCTAGTATCCCATAACACAAGCCTTTACAGTGCTTACTTTGGGGCTAGGCTAATTGGTGTGAGTGTTGTAAATATTTATATTTATTTATTTATTTATCTCCATTATAATTTTTATTTCAAACATTTTTTTTTATCTTTTTTGTTTAGGAGCTTTTGTCCGATGACATGACAGCTCCATCGAAACAAACTAACAAGTACTGAACTACTTAATTAAGAAATTGTAAAATTATTACATTAGATTTTGTACATGTGTAATTTACTAGCAGCATTCCACTAACCTATACAAGTACGGCTTCTGATTTGGGGTTGATCAGAATATTTTGAACAATCCCTATATCAAATATGAAGCTGCATTAATTATAAATCCAATACTGTGTATTATATATTTAAAAAAGTGTGGCGGCGACATCTACACGACCCACACATAATTAACTAAGCAAGACTGACGACCTCCATGGTTGAGTGGTTTGTACGCCGGGTTTCATGGTGTCGCCGACTCGAGAGGTCCCAGGTTCGAATCCCGGTGGGGGCAGATGTTTGTGTGATGAATACGAGCATTTGTACTCCAGTCATGGATGTTTAATATGTATTTCTATATTAATATACTTATATATGTACAGTATATGTATTCTATCCGTTACCCTAGCATCCCATAACACAAGCCTTACAGTGCTTACTTTGGGGCTAGGCTGATTGGTGTGAGTGTTGGACATATTTATTTATTTACTGATGGAACAAGATCTTCCCTTGGCCTCTTGGAACGCGCTGACCACCCGCGTCTTCGAGCTCCCATCATAGATTCATTGACAGGTAAATATTAAGAAAATTGTTACTAATATATACGAGGAGTTGGCGAACAAAACTATATGATTACGCAAAATTATGGTCCAAATACTTTTTTTTACAATCCGGGGGTTATGGGCCTGCTGAATTTGAATTTCATTTTATTTCATTTGAAAAAAAAATGGGTGCGTGTACTTATGTAGGCGCGTGAGAAGTTATCCTTCTTTGGCATCGTTTAAAATTAGTTTTTAATTGCATGCAAATAACTAATTACAATAAATTAATAAAAAGTCTGGAAAAGGACACAGTCAATAAAGTTCAGTTTTAATTTGAAAAAATAAATAAATAATCAAAATATTCAATTAAAATCGCTACTGAATATAATTTATTAGAACATATGTGATTTGCACTTGTATGAAACTCAAACACGTATTCCGAATATACAAACTAGAAACATGTGGATAAATATTATAAATATGAATACCTATAACTGTTACTTTATTACAAAAAATAAAGATGTGGTTTTTGGTTCTACTACACCAATGGTCAAGAGATGGCGCTGTAGTCTCCTGAATCGCGCTTTGGTTCCGTTGTTCCAGATTAATAAATACTTTTGATAGGCCTTCACAATGCAGTCTTAGCACCCACAAAATAGAGATTCTATTTCTATTTTGTTGGTAAATTTTCTTAATGTGCGGTAAACACAAAAGTAACAGCATGAAGTTGGTCGCTAAAGCGACCAACTTCATGCTGTTAAAATTTTGTGTTACAGTGATGCGCGCGCATCTTAAAATTTCACTCTCATAATTTTTTCATAACGCGCCTAAAGAAGTATAACTTCAAAAAAATGTTATGTGTGCACAACCCTTATCACTTAGGGGTATGATAAGGGTTGTGTTCACCTAACATTTTATTTTCAATATTTTTTTTATAATGTGTCATTAAAAACTACATACAACCCTATTTTTATGGCGGTACGAAGTTCGCTGGGTCAGCTAGTAATAACATAAAATTAAATTTTACAAGAGCAGTTAAAAAACTGAATGACACACCTACAGTGAGATTTGGCGTGGTTTTGAATTTATTAGTTTAGTAATTTTAACATAATTTGAAAATGAGTTGAAATTCAAATTCAGCGGGCCCATAACCCCTGGATTGTAAAAAGAAATATTTGAACCATATGCGTAATCATAGAGTCTGTGCGGAAAGAAAATGGGCGTGGTGAAAAACGTAACTAACATTAAGATTTTTATTTGGCAATCAAACCCAGCAATCTGCAAAACGTCAAAGTTTTGTATTGATACGGATTTGTTTGTTGTTGTGATTTCTTGCGGTTTTTGAAGTTATACTTCTTTAGGCGCGTTATGAAAAAATGATGAGAGTGAAATTTTAAGATGCGCGCGCATCACTGTAACACAAAAAATTAACACTATGAAGTTGGTCGCTAACGACCAACTTACCGCACATTAAGAAAATCTACCAACAAAATAGAAATAGAATCTCTATTTTGTGGGTGCTAACGACTGCATTGTGAAGGCCTATCAAAAGTATTTATTAATCTGGAACAACGGAACCAAAGCACGATTCAGGAGACTACAGCGCCATCTCTTGACCATTGGTGTAGTAGAACCAAAAACCACATCTTTATTTTTTGTAATAAAGTAACAGTTATAGGTATTCATATTTATAATATTTATCCACATGTTTCTAGTTTGTATATTCGGAATACGTGTTTGAGTTTCATACAAGTGCAAATCACATATGTTCTAATAAATTATATTCAGTAGCGATTTGAATTGAATATTTTGATTATTTATTTATTTTTTCAAATTAAAACTGAACTTTATTGACTGTGTCCTTTTCCAGACTTTTTATTAATTTATTGTAATTAATTATTTGCATGCAATTAAAAACTAATTTTAAACGATGCCAAAGAAGGATAACTTCTCACGCGCCTACATAAGTACACGCACCCATTTTTTGTATTTAATCATGTCTAAAACGGGTAAAACCTTACAAATATGGTAGAAAAGCACTACAGCGCCCTCCAATCTAAATCCCATTCTCTTTCCGCACAGACTCTATCGTTTTGTTCGCCAACTCCACATATTATACAAGTAACAGTTTTCTAAATATTTACCTGTCAATGAATCTATGATAGGAGCTCGATGGCACGGGTGGTTCGCGCGTTCGGCTGAGATCGTTGAAGTTAAGCAACTGTCGCATTGGTCGGTCATTGGATGGGTGACCAAAAATTTTCTATCTCGAGTTCCTCCGTGCTCCGGAAGGCACGTTAAGCCGTTGGTCCCGGCTGCATCTGCAGTCGTTAGCACCCGCCAATCCGCACTGGGCCCGCGTGGTGGGTCATGTTCCAATCTCCCTATTCCATCCATAGGGAAGGCCTGTGCCCCAGCAGTGGGGACATTAATAGGCTGATGATGATGAATGTTGTCAAATTCATTCCCGAACCGACAGTTATATTTTTGTAAATCTTATATATATAATTCTTCTGTGAGCGTGTATGTCACTGAACTTCTCTTAAACGACTGGACCGATTTTGATGAAATTTTTTGTGTGTGTTCAAGGGGATCTGAGAATGGTTTAGATTCACAATTTTGTCCGCTGGACAATGTTTTTTTAATTAATTTTTAATTCATTAGTAGTTGTTGATTTTGAAATGTTTTACATTGGATCCGACAGACTGCGCTACCATACTAGACAGGACAACGTCTGTCGGGTCCGCTAGTATAAATAGATAAATAGATAGAGACGTTAAAAACGAGGGCCTGTGCCCCAGCAGTGCGGCATTAATAGGCTGATGATCATGATGATAATGAATCTATGTATCACGGTCTAGTTGGAGGATCAGTCAGGTAAGGCTGTGCAGTTGCCGGCTTCAGAACGCAAGGCGTTGATGGTCGGACTGGCTTTACACGAGCGAGGTCGGGCCGCGGCTAAGAATAAAGAATATTCCCTCGCTTTGGTACTGTTGCTGGAGGCTGACAGACATTTCAGGTACGTGGATGGGATTATGAAAGATTTCTAAACATGTAGGTATCAATTAATCTATGTACAATAGGGGTGATGACGGGGTACAGTAAACGAAGTTCTATTTAGTCCGTCAGTTAGATGATGAAAAAATAATGGACACGTATTTTTTCTTTGGGCAATCAACCAGAAAATGACAAAGTTATAGCGCGTCAAAGTTTGGGAGTAGGGGCTCGTGACGTCACTTTTGAGTGAATTTCCACTTATTAGTGTACTCAAACGTGACGTCATGCGACTTTTAAAATCAATATATCTCTGCAATGTTTATATTATCTGAAAAAAGAAAAAATACGTGTCCAATACTTTTTGATAATCTACCGGATAAACGAAGAAAAAAAAATAGTCATCATCCCTATTAGCCAATATGATTCCTGACCCACCGTAATATTATTTGTTATAACCAAGGCTTGCTTACCGGTTAATTTTCAAACCTAAATCAGTGTCAAGTACATTAGGAGCGTTTTATTTAGGTTTGGCTCTACCTTTACCTTTAAAAACCGGTTTTCCTAAAAAGCGAAATTAAATAGGTTTTGAATCAATTTAGCGGTTTTTGAAGGGTTTCATTTTGCTCTTTCTGACGGCATCGATAAGTTATTCATTTAAACTTGACTCACTAGACGCTAGCAAACGTGTCAATAAATGCATCAATCTCTGAGCATTAACAAATTGTGACTTGATTAGTTCAAACAAAACAAACTTCAAGCGTGCACGTGTCGCTGTGGATTAAACCGGTTTATTAAGGTTTTAGGTACCGCTTTCATTGCGGACGCGGTCCGAACGAAACCTTTACTAAAAACCGGTATTAACCTTTATTTACCGGTATTTTCGAAACCGGTTTCACGCCCTGGTTATAACCATTTCAAAATAACATGTTGAGAAATTGAAAGAGTTTCTGTTACATTTATTTTATCTAAGTATTTTTTAATATACGTTGGAGGGAACACGTGTGCGGGCAAAGAATTCCACTTGCGAATAGTACGACAAAGAAATGAGTCACCAAATTTATTTGTTCGTGTAGGAGGGTGTTTCGGAAAAATTACGTTACCAGTTGTCATGTGGTCTTATATATGAAGCTTTTACGAATTAATCGAACGAGCAATTCAATGTATCCAGAGATTATAACGGCATACGTGATTTGAAGGTGTCTCAGTGCTGCCACCTGGTGCCCGTTATTCCAGAAAACCCTCATTACTTATTCTCTACAAATAGGGTTACTATTTGAAAAGTCCTGACAAAAAGCCGGACATTTTGATAAAAAGTCCGTACATTTTTGTCACAAAATGCAAACATCGCCCACTTAGTTACAGTGATATTATACGCGCCGTAGCAGACGCACGCGTCTCTATGGGGGGTCTGGTTGTTGATTTTTAAAGATAATTTATAATTTGTTTTAAATTAATGAGAACTTTATAAAGATTATTTGACTTATTTGTTATAACTTAATTATAGTCTGTCCATTATATTATTATCTTTTTAACAGATCGATCGAAGTAAAAATAGTGACACCCTATCACATAACTCGTTCAATTTGAAGCTATAATCGATTTTGTGCTAGAACATTGTTTAATCGATTATAAGTATCGAAATTATTTTAGTTATCAAAAATACTGGTGTTTATAAATTATTACAAATTTATTATTTTACCTTTAGTACAAATATTGTGTGATGAGCTGATTGTTCTGTGTCTGGGTGTGATGTATCTATATTATGAATATATAAACAACAAAAAAAGCAGTATACTTTTTGTGTTTGTTTATCCTAATACTAATAATCTTTATTTATTGATTATAATTAATAATTTCATTTAAAAAAATGTTTATAAATATCTACCTATAACTTTGACTTTTTTCCTTACAATTTGGTTGTACTCATTTATTTCTACCGATTATTTGTAATCTGTGGCACAATCTTAGTAATCATTATGTGTGGCACATCACTAAGTGGGCGGTACCCGTCCACGAAGTACAATATTATTTGTATGACATTTTAACGTAAACAATACAAAATTTCATGGGCGTCGATCTGTCAAAAAGATAATAATAGAATGGACAGACTATAGTAGTTTTACTCATATTCCATCTAATTAAAAAATCCAGACAAATTATAAAGCCCGGACACAAGGCAAAAAGTCCAGATATGTCCGGACTAATCTGGACAGATGGTAACCCGAACTACAAAGGAAAATTTGTCTGTTTTTATATTTTTAAGCGAACTACCGGGCAATTGGGTCAGGAATCAGTTGCTTCGATCGTACTTACAATGTTAGATAAATAAATAAAAATACTGTTTTCTTATTGATTTGCTTTATTATTTTAATGTGCAAAGAATCATTAGACTTAATAATATTTTTTTAAAGATTCAAAACTCGACTTGCCTCATCAAGTGGGATCAATAAATTAATTTAAACTTGTTGAGTCGATAAATACTATATTTTTGTTTGAAAAATATTGAAAGCAGTTTAAATCAATTATATGACTAACACCCGGTTTCTGAAAGACTGATCAGCGATAAAATTAACTAACAAGGTGTCAATATCTGACGTCAAAAAAGTAATAAAAAAAACGGGAGTGCTTATGACCACACGACTGAAGTGGAACTTCTTTAGCTCCATCTGTATGTATATATATATATATATATAGAAGGTAGCTCGACAAATTAAATAAAAGTTTAATTCTGACGACGTAGCCTCTAAAGGCTACGAAACGTCAATAAATAAATAAAGTTTCGTGCATTAACCCGTAAAAAATAGTTTTATTTAAGAAAAGTAATGTCACAGATTTTTCGGCGATTACGCAGGTCATCTTATAGACATCTAAGGATTTTTCACTTTCACAGTTTCACTTCGAAAAGACTATTTCAATATCCATTACAGCGACTGCAGTTCCTCAATCCTGAATACAGTTGACAACTGGGCTGTACTCCAGTTGGATATAGCTTGGAGCTATCTCTGTCTGAACTCTCTCTCCGCCGCTTCTGATGCTGCCAACCGTCTTGCGAGGGCCGAAAGAGCATTCAGGAACACTTATGGGGAGGATCATCAACGACTGATCGCTTTAAAAGGGACCGCTGGTGAGAACTCAATTTAAAAGGACATGGTAAAGTTTTGTGTGAGCGACTGCCCTGGCAATGTATAAATACTGTACTTAGTAATATATTATGGTAAATGGCTGAATATTTATAATTTCTATGAAAAAAGGCTCAGCAACTTCTGATAAAGTCACAATCTTAAAAATTATGAGAACTCCTACTAATGTCATTTCCTTGCTACTTTTGATGAAAGATGTTGCCAATTTTTTACAGAGCCATCAATTGCGCATTTTGTTAGGATCCTTCCTCCCATTTCTCTGATTAATACTTCACAAAAAGTGTTTTTAATTCAAAAATAAATACAAACAATTTGTAGTCTTCGGCCTGACAGGAAGTCTGTGAAGTTTTATTTTGTTCATTTGCAAAAATCAAAGAATTAATTGTCATACAGCCTTGTCTCAAGCATGATCAGAATAATACAATCTACTATTTTAGACCTCCAGTAATTTGTTATAATAAAAATTGGGGCCAAATATGTCATAGTTTTAAGGAGTTTGGAATTAATATTGTTTATTTCGATAAACTTACACAAATATTTTTTTGTCTACATTTATTGTTCATTTATTTTTGTAAAACGGAACATTTTCCTTTTGAAACAGACATGAAGTCAATTTTCATACTTTTAATTATTGGATTATTTCAAGAAAGTTGTATGAGAATAATAAACATGCGATAATTAAATAAAACATATTATAATGTTACGGGCTAATGCAAAATAATTATACACGTTAAGGGCAGTTTCTTAGCCATGTCCTTTGCGCCTTAATATAACACATTTTGCTAACCTATTAACAATAAAGTACAACAAATTGCTCCTTTAAACGTTGTTTAACTAGCATATAAGTGATGTAACGAATGTTCGCATCCGCATTCGCGAATATTCGCACCGCAAAATCTCTGCGAATGTTTTGCGAATATGAATATTAGAAAATAATAATTTCAAGAACTCGTAGTTCTGCCTTTGGGGCCGTCCATAAATTACGTCATCGATTTTTTCAGATTTTAGATCGTCATCCTATCGTCATTTCTTAATGATCCCCCCCCCCCCCCCCCCCTTCTCCCAAAATTGACGTCATTACCAGTTTGACAAAATTAAAACATTGCAGATTTGAGAAAAGCTTGTATTATATGTAATATTATTGTTAGAGTATTTTATCTGTAGTTATTACTGTATTTGTGTACATCATGTTGCATTATGTACGTTTATTATGAGTTATTTTAGTATTGTACGCGCCTTGGCCGCCTCTCACATCTTTTTAGAAATAATCTTATTGTACGTGAACAATAAACTATAAATAAATAAATAAGAATGACGTCAATTTCGAAACACCCCCCCCCCCCCCCTATCTATCATTTACCGTCATCCGCTGACCAACCCCCCCCCCCCCCCCCCCTCTAATTTAGAATGACGTAATATATGGACGGCCCCTTTCCTTGAATATTCATTGTTACACAGCTTTCGTTTATCTCGTTCAGCATCGCAAAGTGTCTAATAAGTCCATATTTCAGTAGAATTTGATTTACTCATGTTAATTAAATCACTATTCAAATTCTAACCGCAAAATTCATTTGTTTTGTTTACGAAAAGACCGGCGCGAGCGAAATGACACTTCAGTCGGTTGAGTTCATATCAACTCGGCAATTCGAACGAGACTGCCACCATGCCATAGAAAATTGGCGCCAAATATTCGCATGTGGACGGGACTCGAACCCGCACCCTTCGCAATCCGGGCGAATGCACTGACCAATTATGCTACTACGGCCCTGATGGCCGCGTCGAAATTTTCCTAGCCTTAAGCTAAGCTTAAGCAAGGCAGCGCCATCTCTTCGCATTGTAGGTAACCCACGCGAAGCTCAACTCTTCGACGCGACCATCAGAGCCGTGGTAGCATAATTGGTCATTGCATTCGCCCGGATTGCGAAGGGTGCGGGTTCGAGTCCCGTCCGCTGCCTGGTCCGCGTGGATTTTTTTCTAGTAAAACTTTTCTTTAGATTTAAACATCTAGCCGTTAAATGCTTAAAAAATAATAACATAACTAGATACTGTTTATTTTGACGACCTCCGTGTCCGAGTGGTTTGTACACCGGGTTTCATGGTGTCGCCGACTCGAGAGGTCCCGGGTTCGAATCCCGGTGGGGGCAGATGTTTGTGTGATGAACACGAGCATTTGTACTCCAATCACGGATGTTTAAATATGTATTTCTATATAAATACTAGCAAACCAGGCGAACTCCGTTTCGCCATCAGATGGCTTCGTTTTATGTAACATTTCGTTTGGTGATTAAAAGAAGTTTTTTTTTTTTGAAATTTTTCCTGAATTTTCTTTGCTATAAACCTCACGGAGCCCGAGACCTTTCCAACGAATGCAAAACCTTGGAAATCGGTTCGTGCGTTCTGGAGTTATAGCGTCAGGAAGGAAAACCCGACTTATTTTTATATAGTAGATATGTAAAGTATGTGTATTCTATCCGTTACCCTAGTATCCCATAAAACAAGCCTTATAGTGCTTACTTTGGGACTAGGCTAATTGGTGTGACTGTTGGAAATATTTATTTATTTATTGTAGCAAACGAACGCGTACTGTTCATGCGACTCTACCTGCTGCAAGGGATCGTGGCCTACCACCAAAACAAACGCGCTGAAGCCAGGACCCTACTGGAGAAGGCCGAGAATGAAATGAGCTTTTTGAGGGTAAATATTAGTCCAGTCAGTATTGTCGCGAAATCCGTTTTTCCTCAAACAGCTGGAACTATGCTAAAAAGTTTCTTAAGATAGTAAAGAACACTTTACATAGAGAAAAAAATGTTTCCAACCCCGGGCAAGGGTGAAAACCACCCTTAATAATCTATTTTTCCAATTATCTCAAAAAGTATACGAGATACGGAAAAAAACTTCAAATGAAAATTGTAGATCTTTTTGAAATCTACAAAACATTATTCCACCCTCTTGCCCCTATTTTCAATAGGGGAGCCAATAATCGAAGTCAAAGATAACTTTTTTAACTAACTTTAACTTTTTAAGTATTGAATCTTTGACTTCGATTATTGGCTCCCCTATTGAAAATAGGGGCAAGAGGGTGGAATAATGTTTTGTAGATTTCAAAAAGATCTACAATTTTCATTTGAAGTTTTTTTCCGTATCTCGTATACTTTTTGAGATAATTGGAAAAATAGATTATTAAGGGTGGTTTTCACCCTTGCCCGGGGTTGGAAACATTTTTTTCTCTATGTAAAGTGTTCTTTACTATCTTAAGAAACTTTTTAGCATAGTTCCAGCTGTTTGAGGAAAAACGGATTTCGCGACAATACTGACTGGACTATATCATCAGAATCAGCCTATTAATGTTCTCACTGCTGGAGCACAGGAGTAGGGATGCAAAGTCTTTCGAAATATCGATATTTATATCGAAGTCAGGAAAATATCGATGTCCGATATATCGACCATTTTAACTCGATATTATCGATATATCGATTTTTTTTTTCTTTTTTTTTTTGCTTTGTATTAAGTTAGCAAAGCAAAAACCTAAAATTAAGGAAGCAAACGTTTCCGAAATATCGATATTTATAATGTGGGCAGGTGAAAATATCGATATCCAATCCGATAATATATCAGCCATTCCAACATTTCCAAAACGATGTTTATAGATATTTTCTATATTTTTATAGCGCTAAGAAGTATCAAATCAAAAGCAATTTCGAATCGAAGATATTTATTTTGTTTTGAAATGTTTGCACGCAGCCAAAATCAGAATAGATAATCATATGAAAAACAATTGTTATGTATTAGTAAAACATGTCGGGTAATGTATTATGGTTCAAATTTCCCAACATGTTTTGTCAACAGAACCTAAAAACAACAACTTTGACAATCTCTTGCTATGTAGCCGATTCCTGTTTTGGGTCACTGTTGTGCCTGCCTTGGAAAAAAGTCGTTCAGCTGGCACAGATGTGGCCACGATTGGAAGATGGCGCATGGCAATTTTAAAAAGATTTGGGTATGACAGGAGGCCTACTTTATTTCAACGAAAATCCCTTTCCCTTAGTTTGTTTCTATTTCATTTCGAAAATTCGTTCGTCCGAAAATAGTTCATTTAAATTCTCCAAGCCTACTGTAATTCACAAAACTTTCGAACTAAAAGTTGAATTTGACAGATAATAATTGTTCGAAATTTTAACCTCAAATTGACGAAATGAAGAGAGTTACCTTTTCATTTTCGTTATGGGATTTATGTTTAAATTAAACCTTAAATTACAACTAGAGTATTTTTAATTAAGGCTGCTTAGCTTGAGGAACATTATTTAGTATGAAAAATTTACAAATAAATCAATTTTTTGTTTATTATTGTATTGCCAATACTTCAAAGTGTTACACGACAAATTTAGGTTGACGTACATTCGATTGCATAAACTCTACAAATTAATCGGCTAACACTGTCAAAAGAGGTTGTTGTAATGTAATCAAAAGTTTTGACATAAAGTAATATTGTATATAGCACAGTGTGACCTAAACCCGCACTTTACGCACGCTTTTCCGTGACCTAAGTTGCCTATTTCTGTACGGTGTGTAAATGAATTGACCAACTTCACTCATGTAGAAAAAATAAAAGGAAACACATTTAAATGTCATTTGGAGCTTAAAAACTGACAGCAAACAAATGACAAATTAGCGATAGGTTAGGAATTTTCAGAGACAGCAGCAACAGTGAAAACAAGGAGAAACGGTTAGCTATAATTCATTCCGCGAGAATTGTATCTTTTGGTCGAAAATGGCCAGTTCGGATAGTGACCTAAGCGAAATACGAGATCGGTGAAATTGTTCCGGACGCAATTAAAGAAGTGGCGAAGTCGGTGACATTGAATTTGTTGCCCCAAAAATCGAAACGGCTGTATACAGCAGCGTATAATGCATTTAAAAAATGGAGACGAGAGAATAAGTCTTCGCGTCCGGGGCGGGTTTATGCCACACTTGCTATAAAATAGTATACGAGCTCAAAATCACCAAGGTGGTAAATCCACTTCGGCAGCAAATAAATGCCTAAATTCTGTATTTTTTTTAACATTTTAGCATTGGTAAACACTTAACTGTGTTTACTTTAACCACACATCACACAAAATAATTAAAAAGTCTTATATATTACATTTTATATGGACAAATAAGTACAAAAAATCATTTGGAGAACGCGTCCTAAGTAGCAATTCTTAAAAGCTAACACCAGAAATAGTCATAAAATAAAACATTTTTAACGGTTATTAATACCCATTCACCTTCAATTGTATCTAATATTACATTATTGAAAGCATTATTAAAGAAGAAAAACGAATTTAAAAAATCTAAGTCTAAATATAATGTCCGACAATATAAGCATCATGTTAGTGAACGCAGCTTTGATTACGCGAAACAAAAAAATTCGAACGCATCCCTCTTTAGTCAAAATTCAAAAATTCAAAATTCAATATCATTTATTCAGTCTAGGCTGTTACAAGCACTTGTGAATGTCGAAAAGCTACGCCATCGGTTCGCAAATCTACGGCGGGAGACCTTGTACTGAGAAGAACCGGCAAGAAACTCAGCAAGGGCTGTTTTTTTCTCCCTGTATTATATACAGAGTCGTCAATTTGAAAAATGAGTTCAATATGAGATAACCCATGAAGTCACTTTCCATTACAAATGTAAATGATAAAACAATTATGACTATAAAATAAAAAATATAATAAACAGATTTAAAAATGAAAAAAAGTTTAGGAATGCCGTGTCCCACTGTTTAGGCATAAAAACAAATGTACCATTAAAGTTAAATACAACGATTAATAGTACCCAATGTAGCAAGAGCAGACTCATCTCCGCTGGCAGCACCCGTTCACGAGCATGACGCATGAACCAGCCATCGCTTCGCTCAACCATTTTTTAGGGAACGTAACGACCCGCCTCACACGACACCGCCGAAGAGATTTTTAAGAGAGTATGACTACCCATAACCACATATGGATACTAGATAGCAAAATAGGGGAAAAAAAAAATTAAGTACCAGTGTACATTACTATAAAAAACTATAAACACAACTGTAGGACACATGCATGTGGTTACCTAAACACTAGTGTCGACTCTGCCACTACCCTCCAAACCCAAAACCAAACCCAACATCAGTGCCCCCCCTTCACTCTGTATAGAGAATGACAAGGATACACCGCTGCAAAACCAAAGTTCAGGTCTAGAGAACCATGCCAGAATCCACACCACCATTAAATCTTTATCTCAGAAATAATAAATGTTCACCTAAATTTTTTGTTTCTGATTGCCGTGCCATACAGTATAAATACAATTACAAATAAAATTTAACTTAAATAATTAATTATCATTATAATAATAATAAAGTAGTATAGAGCAGACTCATCTCCGCTGGCAGCACCCGTTCACGAGCATGACGCATGAACCAGCCATCGTTTCGCTCAACCATATTGTAGGGAACGCAACGACCCGCCTCACACGACACCGCCGAAGAGATTTTTAAGAGAGCATGACTACCCATAACCACTCAAACCAAGCAAAATAGTTACTTAGAATTCAGGTAATTTATCTGTACGACACTGCAAACAAATACAAAACAAATTGACAGTTACAGCCATGCAGTTTTGTCATTTAAGTATTCTTTAATAGTATAATAGCCTTTCTTAAGTAAACAATTTTTAATGTGACACTTGAACTCATTTATGGGTAACTCAAGAATGGCATCAGGAATTTTATTATAAAAATGTATACCTTGACCCATAAAAGATCGGTAAACCTTCTGTAACCTGTAGGGTGGCAATGCAAGCTTATTTCTATTCCTTGTGTTAAAATTATGCACGTTACTGTTTTTGGTATACAAATTGATATTATTTTTAACGAGGAGTATACAATTGTAAATGAATTGAGAAGCAACAGTCAAAATGCCGATTTCTTTAAATTTTTCTCTAAGAGATGTTCGGCTACTCAATTGATAAATAGATCTCACAGCTCTTTTTTGTAGAATGAATATACTTTCAATATCAGCTGCTGTTCCCCAGAGTATAATGCCGTATGATAAGATACTATGAAAGTAACTAAAATATACAGTCCTGGCAGTTTCTGTACCAGTAAGTTGTCTTATCTTTCTTATGGCATAAGCTGCTGAACTAAGTTTACCAGCCAAAAGCGTAATGTGATGATTCCATTGCAGTTTTGAGTCTATAGTTATACCCAAGAATGTAGTTGAGTCTACTAAATCTAATTTATTATTATTTAATTTAATTTCAATATGTTCGACTTTTACATTAGGTAAAGAAAATTTAATACACTTGGTTTTATTAGCATTTAGCTTTAGATTATTAACATTAAACCATTGCAAAACTTGCGAGAGAGCATTATTAACATCGTCATAGTTGTTCTTGCGCCTGTCAACGTTAAATAATAAAGATGTGTCATCAGCAAATAATACTATCTCACACAAATTTTCTACAAAAAATGGCAAATCATTTATATATACTAGAAACAGAAAGGGACCCAAAATTGAACCCTGGGGAACGCCCATTTCCACATGAGATCCAGATGATCTAACACCATTTACCTCTACAGTTTGAATTCTGGAACTGAGATACGACTGTATTAATTTATATGCAGTACCTTTGACTCCATAATGACTTAATTTCAATAACAGCGTGTGATGATCAACGCAA